TCTCTCTTCCTTCTCCTTGCTCTAAAAATAAATTTAAAACTTCAAAAGCCATAGCAGAAGGCAAGGGATGGGAGGAGTAGAGTAACAATTAGGTGATTATTATCCTATTATCTGTGTTAATAAGCAAAAATACAATTGCAGGCAATTAACCATTTCCCTGTACTGAGTCCATATTGTGGTACTTATTATTGATTCACTTGTTCAACAAATAGATACTAAGCATGGACAACATGACTGGCAATGAGTAAGGTACCAGGATTATAATAGGGAATAAGATCAAGTTTACAGTCTGTTACATTGGCCAAAAAACTCAAATAGCAGCTAGCAACAGTGGTCAGACATATAGCATATTAGTTCCATGTGTGAATGTGAAATTCCAAAATCCTCAAACGATTTGAATGATGGAGACCCAGAAACTGAAGAGGACCATCCCTGTATAGGATGGGATAGCTGTTACTCAGCTCCAGCTGATTTTTGCCTTTCAAGAATGTGTGGTTTACTATTGCCATATTTTGTAAACATTCCAAGAGAAAGCAGAATTCTGAGTTTTATGTGAATCTATTGTTTAATTGATATTGACTCAAAATTTAAAAACAAACCAAAACAAAGACATCAGTTTGAGATTCTCTAATTATAGATGACTTGTTACTAGTGAAAGTGTGGATGAGTTCATTGTTTTGAAATAGCAGTAGGTGTAAGAGTGCAAATTGTTACTTAACCTGTTCAACTTGATTTTTAAAGCTATGATTCTGTGGAAACATAAGCAGAGTCAGTTGATACAAAAGTAGAAATGGATGCCCTAAGATGATTATCGGAGGGTGTATTCAATTTTCACTCTAAACAAAATGGTTGGGTATATAATATAGTATTACATTTCTATATTTATGATGGGCAGGGTGTGTTTACAAAAGATACCTTCTCGAGTGCACATGGAAAGCAGAGTAATGGGAATTGTTAGTACAGGGTGAATTTGGAACACGTAAAAGGAGTTGTCTGCTTTCAAGGGTGGTTTCTGCCAGCTGCAGTGGTTTCAGAAGTTTTCTTTATCCTTGAGTCCCTTTTCCTCATCTTATCAGATACGCTCACCTCCTATATTCTGGTAAGAATAATTGAGTCTCTCCATACAATGTCTTCATTGGTGTTTCAGTGTGTGTTATATCCACCCTGTCCATTCCCAGCTTTGCTTAAACACTTATTCTTTGTTTAATACTACTCCAAAGATACCTACTTACAATTTATCTCAATCTCATCTGAACTCCTTCGGAATCTACGCTCTACAGCATTCAACTTACCTTTAGTTAATCATTATCTTATATTATCCTTTATATGTATCACAACCATGCCCGATCTTTGATGAACAAGAATACAAATTTATGGCACTGGCTGGTGTAGCTCAGTGGATCGAGTGTGGCCCTTCGAGCCAGAGGATCGCAGTTTGATTCCCAGTCAGGACACATGCCTGAGTTGCAGGCCATATCCCCAGTATGGGCTGTGTTAGAGGGAAGGCACTATTATCTATGAGAGAAGGCACTGTTATTTATATGTATCTTAAACTGCTCAAACTGCCCAGGAGTTTGAGGTCCTCAAGATCAGCTCCAGGTTTGATTTGCTAGGCGGACTCACAGGATTCAGAATATAGTCAATAATCACTGCTATGATTTATTACAACAAAAGGATACAAAGCAAAATCAGCAAAGGGAAAAGGCACAGGGGACAAAACCTGGAAGAAATGAGGCACCAGCTTCCAATAATCTTCTGTCATTGGATTCACACAGAACACACTTAATTCCTCCAGCAATAGGTTCTGACAACACATGAGAAATGTTGTCTCCCAGGCACATTCATCAGAAACTCAGTGCTTGGGTTTTTGTTGGGGCTGATTGTGTTGGCACCCTCTGCCTAAAACATACCAAAATTCCAGACCCCTGGAAGGAATATGCGAATGCTTGATAGAAACCATACTGTTTGCACCAACAGTTTAGGTAGAATGAGACACTCTTATCATTTAGGGAAGTCTGTATCAGTGTAGGGAACTGTTTACTATTCAGATTCCCAGACAGCAGCCAATCTTTTAAGCAGGCCCAAGGGTAGCAGTCTCAGCCCTAATAGGTCAACTGTTTTCCTCACACTAATTATAAACACCTGGGTGAAGGGAGGATGAACTAGAAGACTTTTCTTTTAATACTATCATACAACCAATTAGACTCATTACTCACATGACATTCTTTGCCATTATTGAATGTTTTATATACTAATATTTTCTAATTAATTTTTTAAAACAAATTCATGATTTTGGCTTTAAAAAGTTCAAATATTGATATAAAATTTTGTATCAGGCAAAGATTTCCCCTCCTCATTTTCCCTGTCTGGAGGTAACCACTGGTAATAGTTTGTTGTGTTATCTCTCTGGGCTTTTTCCTGTGCATATACAAATATATAAGTGCAAAAATAGAATCTCGCTACATGGATTTTCCTACAACATGCATTTTTTTCATTTAAAATTATGTTGTGAATGTCTTTTTAATGCCAGTACGTACAGATCTACCTCATTCTCTTCAATGGCTACACAGTGGTCCATTGTATTGAGATACAACAATTGAACCTATTGCCAATCTTTTCCTATTAAAAACTATGGTACAATAGGTATCTTTATATCTTTGTACAGTTTTGTATTTCTTTGAGCTAGAGTTCTAGAAGTATAATTGACATATCAAAGTAAAAATTCTGTTTTGGCTTATCTCTTTCATTGTAAGCTCATACAGAGTATGAATTCTTTATATAATATGGTAGTAAATGCTTTTTAGCTAACTACTCAGAATCCATTCCCTTTCTTCCTCCTTCCTTCCCATTGAAATGTTTCCTTTGTGGAACCAATCCTCTCTCACCGCATAGCAGTCATGCAATTTAGGTGAGATTAACCAGCACCAAGTCACATCCTGTCTTTGTTTAGGGATGGACAGTTCAGCTCTGTGTTAGTCTACACAGGCATCCACACGATCAGAATAACTGGTTCAAGTCGGACAGACTAGAGCCAAGTTCAGACTTTCGGTCCATTGGTAGACCTGTGAGAAGTGATACTTTTGTTGCAGAACAGACACACAGGGGCCCGGACTCCGGAGGATGGTATACTAATACCATCTGGACCACCTACTAGGCTTGACTGTCCACCTCCAATTGGAAAGACATTTCTCAATGCCAGAGATTTGTGAAAAGGAAAGGAAATGTTTATTTAATACAGACTTAAAGTAGTGACCTAACATCTTCATTAAAATATCAAAGTCCTTTAGGATATCCACCTATGCACACAGCGCTGTTTTCTCCCCAGGCCCTAATTCAGGGTACTGTAACTCAGGAAAAGAGTACACATCTATGTTTCCAGGCCGCTGGCACCATCAGCTGTGTCGCCGTCCAGGCGGGATCTCCAATTAATCCAAAATCATGTGGCACCTTCTCATGGTCCACTGGCAAGAGTTCTTTGAATCCATTTTTCCAGGCAAAGTCTCTCCTGCTTCCCAGGCTACGTGGCCAAAGGGAACACCCCAAAGCCTTGTAGGCCTCTTCTACCAAAGCTGCAGGGGTCTCCAGTCTGCCAAAAGCATGCGGTTTTCTTCTTCAACTGGCTACAGGGGTCCCCACTGACAAAGCCGCGTGGTTCTCTCCCCCAGTGGGTGCCATGTCTGGGATTAAATCCCCGCACCAATCTTCCTCTGTACCCCCATTTCCGACTCCTCCCACAGTTACACCTGCCAGTATTCCTGTATTATTCCAAGTTTACTGGGCTGCCATCATGAGTCTGGGCAGGTATGGCCCCATGTCCTGGAGCCAATCTGCTCCAAGCTCCCACGCAGGTGCTATAACTCGGGGACCTGCCCCCCAGTTACATCTTGGGGGGAAGTGACTTCCATGGTAGTCTTGTGACTACCAAGCCTGGCCACAGCCATTTATCATATCCAAGTGACCTGCCAAAGGCTATAGATATGTTAAATGACCATGCCACGGATTAGCCGCAAGGCTGTGGCTGTACAAAACAGCCCAGCTTGTTCCTGCCCCATGTGTCCCTTCCCCCAACTCACACCTGTGGGGGAAGGGGGAAGGACATCTTATATGTCTCTCCAATATTTCCTAGACACCTTGCATTCTGGACCCTATTCCAAATCCCTTTTTGGGACCCCTCTCTTGGCTGCACCCTGTATCACTTTCTCTCTTTGAATGTAAAAAAGCGAGAATGTAGCCCTGAATACTTTTGGCAATTGTCTCTCACCCATAAGAAAAGCAGCCTGAGGTCAGGAGCTGATTGTATAGAGGAGAGAAGAAGGGAGACAACTGCAGAGAAACCACGGAGAAGCCACGATTAATCTTTGCCTGATCACTTTATTGCCCGGTTTTTCAGTTGTTAACCATGAAGTCTTCTTCATTGTTTAACAAATCTGAGTTGGGATTTCTATTACTGGAAACCTAAAGCATACTAACTGATACATTTGTCCTTTATACATAGCTGGAGGAGCAACCTTTGGAATTAGATGGATCCGGGTTGATATTTCAACTAGCTGTATAATTACTTATGCAACAATATGTGAGAATTTTTATGAATCTATTTTATCTTCCTATATGGGAATAATCATATGTACAGTACCTTACAAGGCTATTAGAATATTATGCAGTGCAATAAGTAAATCACTTTGCACGGTACCTGAACATAATTGAACTTCTAATTAACTTTTTTCTGTACTCTCCCATATATGTATACATTATCAATACATTTTGATATTATAAAGAAAAAACATTAAAAAATAATCGTGTATTAAAGTTAGGTGGTGCCCTGACTGGCTTGGCCCAGTGGGTTGGGTGTCACCCTGCAAACCAAAAGGTTGTGGTCCAGTTCCTGTCAGGGCGCATTCCTGGGCTGAGGGCCAGGTCCCCAGCTGGAGGTGTGCAAGAGGCAACGGATAGATGTTTCTCTCCTGTCTTTGTCTTGCTCCCTCTCTAAAAATAAAGAAACAGTGCTCACTTCAGCAGCACATATACTAAATTGGAATGATACAGAGATTAGCATGGCCCCTGCACAAGGACCATACACATACAAATAAAATAAAGTACGATCAGTTTGGTGTACGATCAGTTTGTGGTTTCAGTAAGTACAGACATTTCAGGCAGTTTTAGCGAAACCAAAGTAATTTATTTTCCCATGGGAATGGGGTGGGGATGGTGGAGGGGGCTGCTGGAAAGGAAATAAGTCCCCTAGGAGACAGCCAGGCCACAGCCATGCCATATTTCAGGCATCGTGAGGTACTGGATTTCCCCACAACCCCTCCAGGTGTCCAGTAGGGAAATGGAGGCCCAGATAAGACAATGGAATTCTGAGTGATTAGGGCAAGGCCAATCCCCCTCCCTGCTGTACCCGCTCCCCCTTCCAGGCCGAGTACTACTCAGGGCCCCGCCTAAGGAGGACCTCCTTGGAACAAACAGACCCACCCAGGAGCCCTGGGGCTAAGAGATAATGTGAAATACCAAGGGCAGACTAAAGGCAGTAAAAGCCTGTTTCTAGGAAGAAAAGTAAAGTGGTGTAACTACCAGATTCTGCCCAAGTTTCTATTTTACTGCCCGAGTTTGTTTTGAGAAGTGGTTTCGACATAATTAACATGGAATGGCTCTGAGTATCTTAAAATTGAGATGTAAAAGTTATATATTGTACCTATTATTTAATAACCAGTGACTTATTTGTAAACATACATTTCAGTTATTTGGTTTAAAATAATTAAACCAACTTTTAAACATTTAAAATCATTTAGAACATTTTAGAAAAAATCAAAATATAACCTATTGTGAGAAATGGAGGAAATAATTGACAATTTAGATTGGAAATGATGTTAGCCTTTTCATTTTTATTTGCTGAGATCACGTCTGTATAATAAAAATCAAAAGAATGCACTACAGTCATATCTTTAAAAAGCTTATTTTGTATGTTCCTTGATATACCATTATTTCTGAGATGGGGGTGGTGGTAAGGGTGCTTGGGGATGGGTTTGGTATTGGAGACAAGGGAAATATGGGTAGAAGAGTTGTCTTCCTATATTAGCCACCAAAAGATAATTCATTGGAAAAGTGATTTGTGGAATCTGGAATATATATTTGTAGGTTGTCTTGAGAGGTGGCTCATGTCCCTCCCCACAAACTGCTCAGAGGGCCCATTTACACTCAATAAATTCTACCACAGATTGATGCAAACACATCTGTGTGTGTTCGCATGCACATGCGTACTGAATCACATTCTGTATTTCTCTGATACTTTCTTTTCCACAAATTTCCTAAAAACAAAATAGAAGCAACAACAAAAAGAATATCATATCAAAGTAGATATAGATAAAATAGGTCCTTTAAGTTTACAAAGCGGTTCATCCGTCTTACCTCATGTGAGCCTCTCAATGAAGTAAGCATTGTTATCCTAATTTTATGTGAAAAAACGTGATGCTCAGAAGAGTTAAACTCTTTGGTTAATTTCACATGGCAAACAAGTGAAGGAACCAGGTTTTAATATTTACACCCAGATCAAGTGTCTCTCTACTACACACATTTTATTATTTCTACATAGGTATTGCCTGTCTAATTGGCTAATGTTTTATAAATGGATTTGCACCAAGTATGTAAAAAGGAGGTCAAGCACCGGTGTTCTTTATCATTGTAGATTCTAGAATTCTAGTTCTAGAATCTTTAACTACTATCTCCTTGTCCGGCCTCCAGGAAGGACAAGAAGTCTAGGGTAGAACTTTGGTGCCAGTGCTTCTTTCCCTATGTAGTCACTCCTTTCGAAAATATATTATTGAGTATAAGAAGCAAACAAATACAAAAATGAACATAATTAAGGTCTTTGTCTCCCAAGAGCTCAAAACCTAATTGTGTTTAACTGTACACAAAATAAAGGCAGAACGAGGTAAGTACCATAGTAGAAGCAGATGAGAAGAGTCCTGCACAGTTGGGCACGAGTTCAAGTAACACTTAAGTGTCTTTTCAAGCTGTCCAGACAGTACACATTAGTGAAAATTCCCTCATACTCATGGTCCCAGGGTCTCCTCTTTAGAATTTTTAATTCGGATCAAAACTTAGCATTCTGCAGCATTGACATCGCATTATTCACAACTTTAAGGACTTGAATAAAGGCCAACTACGAAACCCCCAAACATTGCTGCTTCATTTGGCTTTAGAGTGAAACACCGACCCCAGACTGTTGAGCTTGGGTCTGAGGTTTTCTAGTTAGAACTACCTAGCAAATGGTTTCGGTTCCGCGAGGAGAAGCTTGGGCAGAAGCGGCCGAAACCCCGCCGGCGGGGCTGGTCAGTGGGTCTGCAGCAGAGGTGGCGCTCGAACTGGCTGGGCGGGTCGAGGAACGATGATCTCTCAGTCGGGGGTGGAGGCCGACCTTGCTTAAGGTAATCTGGGAAAGGCAGACAGCAAGGTAGACTTCCCACGCCTCCGGCACATTCCTCAACCTCGCCGGCTGGGGAGCTCTGCGCAAGCGCGTTAGTCGTGCGACATCCATCACTTACGGCGGAAGCGGTTTGTGCTGGGAGTTGGTGGCGCGCTGCAGGGCTCTTAGGAACGGACGGCTCGGGCGCGGGTAATCAGCTCCCTTTACCCCTTTCACCACTTCTTGTAGGATCTTGGGATCATGGAGCTTCCGGACCTGATGCGGCCGCTCAGTCGTGGACTGTCTCTCCCCGCTTCTCTACTGCTCGGGGTGATCCCGCGGCCAGGTGGGGGTGAGGGGCGGGGTCGGGGGCTTCTCTGAACTCCATCCTGGCAGCGTAGTGTTGAAATATCCCGGGTAACAACACATGGTTGTTCTTGTTTTCCAAGAGTGGTGGTATCCGGGGACTGCGACTTGCAGGGTCCGCCATGGAGTCAGAGCAGATGCTGGAGGGACAGACGCAGGTACCCGGAGGCCCTGGATTCATGGTGGCGGTGTGCAGCGAGAAAGGGTGGCCGATGTCTCTGACCTGTGTTTTGTTTTCTAGGTTTCGGAAAATCCTCATTCTGAGTACGGTCTCACAGATAATGTCGAGGTAACTCAATCAGTTCCTAAGCTGTTTTCTGTGCGTCTCTGATCCATTTTTATTGGGTTGCTTTGCCCAAGGGAAAACTTTATCTTCATAAAGCAAATACTAGCAAATTTGCTGGGAGCTGGTTTTATTAGCGGTACTAAGATTTCGTGGTATACAAACATACAAATTAATTTTGAGTCAAGAAGTTGAACTTGTGAAAGTGATGTATATAAAGAAACATACATGCATTGCTAGTGGAGACGTGGAATCGTTTTGCTTGGTGTCTTTTAATGCATCATTTGTTGGGATATTGCTTTGGAGAAACAGCACATTAAAATGAAGAAACCCATTGTCTTTGGAGCATAATTATATCGCTGTAGTCAGCATTTAATGTTGATTTCTCTGCACAGTTTATTAGGTGCCATTGGAAGCTATAACATACATAGTAGACACTGTTTTTGCCTTAGATGGTTAAGTCTGAATTCAGGAAAAATATGAAAAAGAAGGTAACTTGTATAGAGCTTTTTCATTTAATGTGCTGAAAGGTTATTGTCTAAAAGTAAAAGTTACTTTGTAAATGATGGAACAAATTAGTTAACCAGAGCTGGGTGGAATTGGTTAGGAAAACAGACTTCTGGAAGGAGATGTATGTCTTTCACTATAAAAAGAAATACATTACTGGTGATTAAGGTTGGATACATGGAGGGAAGGGGTGTTTCTGAGGACAGTAATAATAGTAACAACTCCTAATATTTTCTGTTGTAAACTTTTATTGATTTTAGGGAGGGGTGGTGAGAGAGCTAGAGAAAGAAAAAAAGAAAGAAACATCAATTTGTTGTTTTACTTAATGCATTCATTGGCTGATTCTTGTATGTGCCTTGATCCGGGATCTGAACACGCCCTGCAGCTTTGGGGTTGTCGCTCTGACCACCTGAGTACCTGGCCAGGGCCTAGCTGCTCATGTTTCTTTAGCCCTTTTACTATGTGCCAGACATACTCTTAAGTAATTTGCATATAACTTCAGTCCTATAAGGCTCAGAGAAGTTGAGTAACTTGTCCACAGTTACCAGGAGGTTATGTGGTGAACTGTGTATTAAACCTCGGCAGGTTGACACTTTTAAAGTAAAATTAAATTGATTTGCCTATCTTGACCAACTCCTGCAGTTTGCAGGCTGGTGGATTGACTACTCTGTTCTGATAAGATTGCTGGGAATGTTGATTGTTTTGATATCAGTTTGTTGCTTTGATATTAGTACTGATAAGAGGATCTTTCTCTTTCTGATACAATTTTTAGTTGAACTTATCCTGTGGAATGGGGTGAAGATTTACTATACCACTTTGTTTTCTAGTTACTAGAGACCTTTTTTTAGGCATCAACGATCTTTTCTTTTTTAAAAAATATTTTATTTATTTATTTTTTTTAGAGAGAGGGGAAGGGAGGAGAAAGAGAGGAAGAGAAACATCAGTGTGTGGTTGTGTATCCCCTACTGGGGACCTGTCCCACAACCCAGGCATGTGCCCTGACTGGGAATCGAACCAGCGACCCTTTGCTTCACAGGCCCGTGCTCAGTCCACTGAGCTACACCATCTAGGGCAACAATCTTTTTTTTTTTTTTTTAATATTAAATTTTATTTAGTTACTTTTCAAGTACATTTTTTTTATACAATCTTTTCTTGATGGTGCTTATGTATGATGCCAGAGCCATACTAGTGTAGAGCAGTGATACCCAAATGCTTTTTCCTCAAACCAAAGATTTGAGAAAACCAATTTCCACGGTAAAGTGAGAAAAAAATGAGTGGAATGAATGTTTAACAATGATAAGTTATTTGGTAATTGGTCTTCCTGCTTGTATAACTTTAAAATACTTATTCTTTTATGAATTAATGGTGATAGTAAAATAATAATTATGTTTATTTGTAAGTTTTTACTTGGCAAAATAGAATACTATATTAGTTTTTTCACTTATTGTATTATTTCTTGTTGTGAAATACGAAAGTCTAGAAACCACTCCTTCTGCAGTTGCTGCAGCTGCTTCTACCCTTATGATTATGTTTGATTGCCTTTGCCTT